GGGGGATTTTGGTGCTTTTTTGGGGGGATTTTTCCCCCCAAATTCTCCCGATTTTGGGGGAATTTTCACCAAAAAATTCCCAAAAAATTTCAGGGAAAATCCTCCAAATTTTGGGGAATTTTGGGGGTTTGCAGCTGCTTTTTTGGGGGGATTTGGGGGGATTTTGGTGCCTTTTTGGGGGGATTTTTCCCCCCAAATTCTCCCGATTTTTTCGGGAATTTTCACCTAAAAATTCCCCAAAAAATTTCAGGGAAAATCCTCCAAAAATTTGGGGAATTTTGGGGGTTTCCGGCTGCTTTTTTGGGGGGATTTGGGGGGATTTTTGGGAATTTTGGGGGATTTGGGGTAATTTTGTGATGATTTTGGGGAATGTTGGGTGATTTTGGGTGATTTTGGGGAATTTTGGGGTAATTTTAGGTGATTTTGGGTAATTTTGGGTGATTTTGGGGGGATTTTGGGGAATTTTGGGCAGATTTTGGGTAATTTTGGGTGATTTTGGGTGATTTTGTGATGATTTTGGGGAATTTTGGGGTAATTTTGGGTGATTTTAGGTGATTTTGGGTGATTTTGTAATGATTTTGGGCTGATTTTGGGTCATTTTGGGGTAATTTTAGGTGATTTTGGGTAATTTTAGGTGATTTTGGGTAATTTTGGGTGATTTTGTGATGATTTTGGGCAGATTTTGGGGAATTTGGGGTGATTTTAGGTGATTTTGTGATGATTTTGGGGGATTTTGGGGAATTTTGTGATGATTTTGGGTGATTTTGTGATGATTTTGTGATGATTTTGGGCAGATTTGGGTGATTTTGTGATGATTTTGGGCAGATTTTGGGTGATTTTGTGATGATTTGGGGCAGATTTTGGGTAATTTTGTGATGATTTTGGGCAGATTTGGGGCAGATTTTGGGTAATTTTGGGTAATTTTGTGATGATTTTGGGTGATTTTGGGCGATTTTGGGTAATTTTGTGATGATTTTGGGCAGATTTGGGGCAGATTTTGGGTGATTTTGTGATGATTTTGGGTAATTTTGGGTGATTTTGGGGAATTTTGGGGTAATTCTGGGCAGATTTTGGGTAATTTTGGGTGATTTTGGGTGATTTTGTGATGATTTTGGGCTGATTTTGGGTCATTTTGGGGTAATTTTAGGTGATTCTGGGTAATTTTGGGTGATTTTGGGGAATTTTGGGCAGATTTTGGGTGATTTTGGGTGATTTTGTGATGATTTTGGGTCAATTTTAGGTGATTTTGGGTAATTTTGGGTCATTTTGGGTGGTTTTGGGTAATTTTGGGTAATTTTATGATGATTTTGGGTGATTTTGGGTGATTTTGTGATGATTTTGGGCAGATTTTGGGTAATTTTGGGTGATTTTGGGGTGATTTTGGGTGATTTTGTGATGATTATGGGGAATTTTGGGGTAATTTTGGGTGATTTGGGGCAGATTTTGGGTCATTTTGTGATGATTTTGGGTGATTTTGGCCGATTTTTGGGGTCATTTCTTTGCCGTTTTGGGGTTTTTTCCCCCAAATTCTCCCGATTTTTCAGGAATCTTCTCCTCAAAATTCCCCAAATTTTTTTTTTTCCCAAATCCTGGATTTTTTTCCCTTTTTTCAGTCCTCGGGGGACCTGGAGAACGACGAGCACACGGCCACCGTCCTGCAGGGTTTGGTGGCCACGGCTTTGGGCCTTCGCTTGCCCAGGGGCCACGAGCCGCCCTTCCGGCGCCTCTCGGGTGAGGGACGGCGCCAAAAACGTCCCCAAATGTCCCCAAAATGTCCCAAAAGTGTCCCCAAGGTGTCCCCAAGGGGTCCTCAGGGTCATCAAAGGGTCCCCAGGGGGGGAAGGTGGCACCAAAGTGACAAAAAGTGGCACCAAAAAGGGTCCCCAGGGAGGTTTTTGGGGGTTTTGGGGTCTCCAGTGTCCCCAAATGTCCCCAAAATGTCCCAAAAGTGTCCCCAGGGTGTCCCCAAGGTCATCAAAGGGTCCCCAGGGGGGGAAGGTGGCACCAAAGTGACACCAAGAAGGGTCCCCAGAGGGGTTTTGAGGTCTCCAATGTCCCCAAATGTCCCCAAATTGTCCCCAAGGTGTCCCCAGGGTTTTGGGGGTGGCCCTGTCCTCGTCCCCTTGTCCCTGATGGCCCTGGGGACTTCAGGGGTGGCCCTGGGGACTTTGGGGACCCCGGGGGTGGCTCTGGGGACCCCGGGGGTGGCCCTGGGGTGGCCCTGGGGACACTGAGGTGGCCTTGGGGACCCCGGGGGTGGCCCTGGGGACACTGGGGTGGCCTTGGGGACCCCGGGGGTGGCTCTGGGGACCCTGGGGGTGGCCCTGGGGACACTGGGGACACTGGGGTGGCCCTGGGGACCCTGGGGGTGGCCCTGGGGACTTTGGGGACCCCGGGGGTGGCCCTGGGGACTTTGGGGACCCCGGGGGTGGCAGTGTCCCCGTTGTCCCCAGTGGTGTTTGGCGAGCACTCTCTCCTCGTCACCGTCTCGGGACAGAAACTCTTCGTGGTCAAGCGCCACCACCACGTCCAGGAGCCGGTGGCCGTGTGAAAAATGTCCCCAAACTGTCCCCAAACCCCCCCCTCCCCCACGTGGGGACAATAAACGACGTCCGAGGGCGGCTGCGGTGCTTTGTGACCTCCTTGGGGACACCCGGGGGACACCCAGGACCCCTTGGGGACACCCAGGGGACATCCAGGACACCTTGGGGACATCCAGGACCCCTTGGGGACATCCAGGACACCCCTGGTGGCATCAGGTGACATCCAGACACTCCTGGTGGCATCAGGTGACATCCAGACACTCTTGGTGGCATCCATGACCTCCTTGGGGACATCCAGGACCCCTTGGTGGCATCCAGGGGACACCCAGGACCCCCTGGTGGCATCCAGGTGGCAGCAGGTGACATCCAGGCCACCCTTGGGGACATCCAAGGGACATCCAGGACCCCCTGGTGACATCCAGGACCTTCTTGGGGACATCCAGGACCCCCTGGTGGCATCCAAGACCCCTTGGGGACATCCAGGGGACACCCAGGACATCCCTGGGGACATCCAGGTGACATCCAGACACCCCTGGTGGCATCCATGACCTCCTTGGGGACATCCAGGCCACCCTTGGGGACATCCAGGACCTCCTTGGGGACACCCAGGTGGCATCAGGTGGCATCAGGTGACATCCAGCTCTCTCTTTATTGGCAATAAATAACGAGGACAGAGGTGCCACCCTTGTCCCCAAATGTCCCCAAATGTCCCCAACCCGGGGGTGGCACCGCAGGCCCCTCCCCCTCCCCCCCTTTGGCTCAAGGGGACACTTCCAGAATGTCCCCAAATGTCCCCAAAATGGTCCCAAAATGTCCTCAAATGTCCCCAAATGGTCCCAAAATGTCCTCAAATGTCCCCAAATGTCCCCAAATGGTCCCAAAATGTCCCCAAATGTCCCCAAATGTCCCCAAAATGGTCCCAAAATGGTCCCAAATGTCCCCAAATTGTCCCCAGTGTCCTGGTGATGTCCCTGCCACCCCAGTGCTGTCCCCAAAGTGTCCCCAGGTGTCCCCAAAGTGTCCCAAGATGTCCCCAGAGGTGTCCACAGTGTCC